GCCACGAATTTTCGAATCTGTAAGAGTTTAAAAAATTCTGTACTTATAAAAGAAAAAAGTACTATACTGAACTGTACCTTAATCTTAGTGAATCAAAATAGCTTTTTTCCTTGCTATGGAATATGTCCAGGTGTGGGCACTTGTTTTTGTTCTTTACCTACCTGCTTTATTCCTATTGTGTAGTACTATTATAGCAGAGACCCCAGCTCCGCTGGGAGATATAGCCTACCCAAGATAAATAGATCTTCTTTTCTAATTTTACAAAGTTAGACATTTTGATTGTTTACAAGGTTAAAAAAAAAATTGTGTGTGTAATGAGGGAGGTCTTCCCTGCAGGGCGCTGTGGAACCACCAGGACCTAGTGGGTGGAGGCACTCCTCTCTGGGGGGATGCTTACGCACATTATCACACTGTTGCCACCCACACAAAGAACGGGTATTCAACTGTACCTTCACACGCTGCTTTTGAAAATTGCAAGCCTTTTTGGTGCAGTGAGGGAAGAGTAAAATGTTCTTGATGAGAAAAAAAAAAAAAACAAAAGAGTGAAGTGGCAATCCACTGTAAATTCTGTCTCACACACACACCTGATTTTATATCTGATATCAGTAGCACTAAAGAGGAGAAAATTCTCTACTGGGACAGAGAGAATAACTACCACATATTTACATGATTCAGAGTCTGCCAAGCATGGCATCTAAGCTAGCCTTTGTGAAAGTTAACAGTGAATGATATGGCGTAAGCTTTGCATTGCTTACTTGTTGTTTATTGCTTAGCAGGATTACTGGAGGAGAAGAGATGACTTGCGACAGGCCACCTATAGGCTCCATGGTTTATGTCGAGTACATAGGTTGATTATGCAAAGGGACTGTTGGTATAATATGCTTCTTTCAGTCTGCTGCAACGTGAATGGTATTAAGCATTGTTTTAAGTTTTTGAAGTACTTGTTTTGACATGACATGGGATATGCCAGGTTTAGGGTTTTTGGAGCTTTTTAGGTGCTGAAACAAGCTGGTTGTAAGCCAGACTGCATGATTTGTACTACACTAATCTCAACATTGTTCAACAGCTCTTAAGATGGATCTTATCTGTCAAGCAAGATATTTTGGTCCTGTCCTTTGTTGGAGTAACTCGGTTATAGCGCAGGTTTACCGTGAAATGGAAAGTGTTGGTGTTGAAGCCAGCTTAACTAACTTAAAATTAACTCCGCTATCAAAGAAATCCCTCAAAAGTGAACACCATCATACTTTCTGTATTTAATTCTATAATATTAAAATACTTTTATATTTTCTTATAGTTTGTGTGAAGTTCTATAAATAATATTCCTGCTTTGATTATATATATTAAGTCCACTTAATAATATAAATATTTTCATACCATCATAAAATTTATGCATAAAATATTATTTCCAAAATAAAAAAATTTACAGATATAATACTTCTAGTGATTTTGGTTCACGTAGTGTGTTGATTAGAAATTGCTAGACATTAGCATTTCCTAATTAAAAGTATCTAGATAGTGCACATGAAATGAAAGTGTTAAAAACTGGTTTTACCATATGAAAAAATGTAGAAATATTGTAACCAAGTACAAAAAAGTGAATTTGTATATTGAAAATTAACAATTTACAATTTAAAACCAGTAAAAGTTTTTTACTTAAACATCAGATAATGGATTTGCTGTTGAGAAAATGGAAGAAAATTTGAAAGACATTATAGTACAAATATTAGAAATTACTTTATTTTTTACTATTTAAACAAATATTTAGTGACATATATAAATTTTTATTATTATTTTATAGTTTTTATTAGAAAGTTTTTTACTTAAACATCAGATAATGGATTTGCTGTTAAGAAAATGGAAGAAAGTTTGAAAGAAATATTATTACAAATATTAGAAATTAGTTTATTTTTTACTTTTTATTCAAATATTTAGTGATATATATAAATTTTTAATCTATTTGTTTTTTATAGTTGTTATTTTATAATAAATAACTTTATTTGTATTACATGTATATAATGATATATTACTTTTATTAAACTATATTAATTATTTCTATTATAATATATTAGACATAAATTTATGCTTATTTTCTATTCTTTAAAATTTAGATTCCAGCATTCTAATTTTTAAAATAAGATAATGACGAATTACAGAGGATAAAATGCACCAATAATATTTTATTCACAAATGATAGGTTGATACAACAATGTAAATACAAAATAAAATAACCTCATGTTTCATTATATAATGATTAATTACTTCAAAATGTTCAATAATGTACTATATAAAAAATATAATAATATTACTATGAACATATCAATGGGTCAGATGTTAGTATGTTTATAATCATGTCCTTCTTTATATTATTTGCTAAATAATAAGTAGTATTGAAAAATTAATTATTATGGTATTTATAATATTAAAGTTTCAAGATTTTTAGCGATATATGATTTTTAATGTTTGGCTAGAGACAATCTTTAAGAAAATTGTTAAAAGTTTCAAAAAATTTTAATGTGTTTGAAATCATAACTTGCATATAGAGCTTACTAGCATGATATCACCTAATTATAATATTAATGAAGTATGGTTTATTATTTTTAACATTATTCCTAGCAATCTGGATATTTATTTGAGATCTTTTCTACTACATTATAGCCTAATCACTTTTACTAAGAAGTTCATATAAACCAGACTTTTTAGTATTTTAAACTTGTATTTCTTCAAGTTTTCCTTCTCCTTATTTTAAGTTTTTCTTTCACAAGTATTTTGTCTCTTCATCATTTAATTTTCATAGTAATCTTAGTGTTGCAAAATGTATTACACATTCTTGATCTAATACTAAAGCATGTTCTGGTTGGAAAGGTTTTGAGGTGTATTAATATTTTATATTTTAAAAAAAAGTTATTCTCTATCTTTTCCAGAGGATCTTGCAAATAATTGTGCTCTATTTGGAAACAATTAACTTCTGTATTTCATTTAAACTTAACTTACCCTTATGAAAAAACTGGATATTTTAGTCATGCTTAGGTAACAACTCTGAGGGATTGACATAATACAATTTCAGAGAAAATCTAGAGCAATAACAAAATATTTATATAAAATATGTGTCAGTATTTTAACTAAAGATAAAACCTATGTAAAGATGCTGAAAATTAAATAATGTTATGAGCAAGAAGATTAATAGAAAATATATAAGAGGTAGATATTTTTTGAGATATTACTATGAAATGGATTTCATATTTGTATGTATATGAGATAGTTTATACTTATTAGATACTAAGAACCATTCTCTATTTTCGTGAGGTTTAATATAAATATGGTAGCAATTTGTATAAACTTACTTAGCGAGTTTAATCATAATGCAGAGCTCAAGTAGTGAATTTGAATATTAAAATATAATAATTTCATATTAGGCTTGTAGAAGGTTATTAGTTCAGAACCAGATAATGGATTTGGTATTTGAAGCAAGAAATAAAATATAAAGATGTTCCTACTCTTTTGAAATACATAATAGTATTAATATTAAAAAATTTTATATCTCCAGGTGGATGGTAAACTAGAGCTTTGATATTTTACTTTATCTTTCCTCATCTTCCATGATTTGTCATGGCACAGTATTATTTCTACATTCGCACAATTAGCCTTGGAGATTATTTATCTATTATATAAAAATAAAAGCCTGTCAATACACTAGCAAAAAAGTAAAAAAGAAGCACCAGCAGATTTTTAGATCCTTTATACATACCCAAATAAAACAAAACTTTTGGCACAAGTAATAGCAAATAAGGGACAGTTTTTCTTTTATGTATATAAAATGTATAAAGAATTTGGTGGTTCTCACTCACCATATAACTATAGTTTGAATATTGCTTTTAGAGTATTGCATAATTAAAACTTTTATAGAAAAATTACATTATCTTCTTATGTTGCAAGTAACTATTCTACATTTCTTAGGTTTGGTCAATTTATAATTTCTCAATATGTCTAGAACTATTCTCTATTGCCAGTTTATGAGGTTTAATATAAATGTGGTAGAAATCTGGATAAATTTTCTTATGTATGTTTTTAAATGCAAAATGAGATACATAATAGAAATTCTATTATTCTTTAGTAAACTATGAATTTTAAAAGCATCATTACAATTCAGGTAATAAAGAAGTTAACTCAGTACACAATTAAATCTATAACTTCACCAAACCAGTTATAAAACCTATTATTCTTTGGTATAATTCTTTGATTTTGTGAAAACTCAATTTTTTTTAAAGGTTGGCAGCAATCTTGTGAATGTGTTTAGGGTTGTGCACCTTTTTGAAAAGGCAATAAAAACAAACTCAAATTTAAATTTCATGATGATAAAAAAATGATTTTATCTTCCCCAACACATGCATTATTATCTAATTGCATTATTAGAGCAAAGTATTACTCTGGAGATGAATAGTAGCAAAGTTGAGATAAATTTAACATTTATACAATAAAAATTTCTAACATTCTAAAATTAGAAAAGAAGATCTATTTATCTTGGATACCCTCGAGTTGCATATGAATGAATACTCTGGCAGCCGAGCGATCGTCATCACAGCAAGAGAAAGAGGACAGCAGCCCATTCCAAAGAAGAGCACTGTAGCCACCGGAAGAGAAAGAGACTTGATCAAAAGCTTGTCTCACTTCGTCCAGGCTTCCACAGGCCCTGTACGCGTTCATAAGAGCTCTCCCCAAGACCTTGTCGATCTCCACGCCACTATCTCTCACAGCTTCGTGGATCACTCTCGTCTGATCCAGTCTCCAGCAAGCATCTAGCATTGTCACAAAGGTCGCCTTCGTCGCTCCAACGCCCTCTAGATCCATCAACTTAAATAGCTCCAGAGCCTTGACGTTATGGTTGTAGAGGAAGTAACCAGCGATCATGGTGTTCCATGACACCGCGTCTGTGTCCTGCATTCTCTCGAAGAAATCCCTCGCAAGCTCGAGTTTTACACACTTTCCATACATGTTGACAAGAGTTTTGCCGACTACTCAATTGGATTCCAAAACACTCGCTGGAAACTTGCCTGTTAGCGAGAATTCCTTTGTCAAGAGCGGCTAAGATGGCACAATCAGCGTTCCAAAAATAAGTGAGAAATAAATATCCAGAACATTTGTTTAAGGTGTGTATAGTTATGTTCTTTCATGCGGTAAAGGAAAACGGTAAAGGTCCTGTCACAAAAGACTGCCCTTATGGGAAGGAGAGCTAAGCGCACAGGAACGAGGAGCAAAAGTGTCAAACAGGATTCGTTTGATTCCTGGAACTTGGAGCTTGGAGGTAGCCAAGAACAAAAAATAGTTTGCAAGATATATGTTTCACCGCACACAACACAGACGCCTCTGTTCGTTTGATTGTGAAGGACAAGGAGTTCCAAGTGGTGTGGATCTTCATCAAAGCTCCCAGGGAAGCTCCAGGGATGCATTGGCCACTGCTCGCTTTAGGTGTGGGACCAACAACATGCGTTGGAGCTTGAGCAGGCAAGGCATCACAAAAAGCCATCACAAAGCTTGTTTGTCGTCTTGAGAGTGGACATGCTATATCTGTGAAATACCAGAATCAACAGGAGAAGAGTTCTAGCTTCTCAAAGTCCAAAAACTAAACACTGTAAACAGTGGTTTTGTATAGACTAAAACACCTTTTTTTTAATCTAAAAGAACTTTAAAACCGGAATAAGTTTCTGATTAGAAGGACTTCAAGTTTCAACACGGTGCTAAGGGCTATTAAGTCTTAGGTATCAGAGTTTTTTAAATAGTAATTTTTTTGATCTCTGTAAAGTCTTCAAAAAGGAGTCAATTCAGATGTCATCTACTCATTCTGAATAGCTCAGCAAATCGAGTTTGTAGAGCACTGGCCTCAGTTTGTTCGTTTTTTTTGTGAGTTACATTTTAAAAACATTTGGATGAGTACATAGGGTAACCACAAAGTATCATACCGTCAAATGGAAAGCTTTTGATAGCCTTGTAATACATTTCTGTATCTCCCTGTTTAATTTCTGGTAAAGACGTCCATGCATGATGTCTTGAGACCAAATCAAAAGCCTCAAGTTTTGATTTATTTCCTTGCAGAAGTTCTCCTTTATCACGTCTGTAATTTAAGGGATAAATATTTCACAACCACTGTACCTTAAAATTACCTGCTATATTTCTCTTCTGTTTCAACATCCAGTATATAAGGATGCCAAATCCAAAAATTGCCTTCACAATCTGAAACAAATGGCTGATTTTTTTTCTAAATACTAACATATTCAATAGAATACAAGTTTTTGATAAAGTAAGAGTCCTTAGTTTCTGATTTGAGGAAACAACCGCATTGCTTTTCAGCGACAGTGGATATGGGATATATCGAGATCCTGCATGCTAAGGTACTCTTGAGTGTTGGTGTGCCTGATGGCCCTGGAGAGCGTAACGTCCTTCATGGTTTTTTATGGCTGCAAAGGCCAGAAGAAATGAGAAGTTCATTAAATCCAACTCAAGGATTCCTTACCCGTTCATCATCCACCATTGACCTCTCATCTTTTAGTGGATTTTATTGAAGCTGCCAAACCATACCAACTGTCACTTCACTTTCATCAGTGTCACTGTCGAACTGTTCCAAAAATGACAGACAGGAAGGGCCTTTTGCTCGTTTTTTTTTTCTTTTTTTGGAGCTAACGTTCCTCTTCCCTGAAACACAGTTGGATTCAAACACACGGCCACATCCCATCTCTGTGGCCATCTCTCTGGTTTCAGACACACGCCCACAGAGATGGGATGCATTAGCGAGTGAGTGTGTGCTAGAAAAACTTACTGTGCATCTGTGAGGTGTGTGTGACTTGCAATAAACAGCCATCCTGGATTTGCTAGAATGCAAAACACATGCCTGAAGAACCATCACAATGTTAGTCCTTTTTTTAAAAAACAAAGCTCACTGGTTTCTGTTGTATTGATCACGAGGCCATTGATTAGCTTCACTGGACTGGAGAAACCTCGCAAGGCACCTTGGATTCACTTGAATGTTAGAGTACCTGGAGAAGCAGCACATTGTTTTTTTCTTTTGAGCAATACCTGTATCGTTCGAGCACTCTCTTGCATTTTCGACATATTTGAGGTTGCATCAGTTAAAGCCTCCATCTTGTGCTCTGCATCTTTGTCAAACTCAAAAAATTAGTGTAGCTTTAACTGTAAAGATAACTTTTTGCTTCTCCACAGCAAAATGGCTTGGTGGACAATCTGGCAAGGAAGTCTATCTGTTAATTTTCATGCATCTATCTGTTAATTAACATAAGGAACTTTTTTGAAAGGACATGCATACTAACCTGCATCTGTGGTGTTTTTTTTATCACTCGGCAACAATTCCGAGCATTTCTTTTGCAACTGCGTTTTCTCATCATCTATCGTTTATTTTATTTTAATGCATCTAGCTGGTGATGGTGCTGCTGCTGCTGCTGTGTTTCCGACTTACCTGTAACATAAAATCGGCTCTACAATTGTATTTCCAGAGAGCCATTATACCACCATTAAAAGCTATGACACAAAAACATACCCTGAACTTGCTTCACAAGAACTTGCTTCAGCGCTGATAGCAAAACATAAAAAACACGATAATTTCCTGTATCCCAAAATCATACACCGACTTTTTCTGAAAAAATTAGAGGTCCCAAATCTGTAATCACAAAGAAAGGATGGTTGTAAATGCTGCAAACAAAAAATTATTTTTTTGGTACCTGTAAACACTAAAATCATACAAATGTCTCCACCTGCGAAAAAGAAACTTAACATAAGTGAAAAATCAAGCTTTTTTCTGAAAAAAAAGAGGTCCCACTCTGTAATCACAAAGAAAGGATGGTTGTAAAAGCTGCAAACACAGAATATTTTTTTAATGCGATACCGTACAAGTAAGAGTCAGAGTTTCTGCTCCAGGCGTTCGCGGATAATGGGGATCTCCAAAGCGCAAGGATGATCTTCCACCAGATCGATCACTTGGTTCTGGCGTCCTGGAGCGTGATGATCGTGGCATATGCCCAGCACGGGCATCTTGACGATGCGCGGCGTGTCTTTGATTCCATTCCGAGCAGATTGCTGCACTGCAGCGTCGTGCTGTAGAATGCGATGCTGGCGGCCATCACGCAGCTCGGCACTGCAGCTGCCGCCATGGAGTTCTGTAATCACAAAGAAAGGATGGTTGTAAATGCTGCAAACATAGAATTTTCTTTTTGGTACCTAGGTACCTATAAACGCCAGAATTCATCCGAATGTCTCCACCTGCAAGAAAGAAACTTAACATAAATGAAGAATCAAGCAACAATGGTGTATCTAAAACAAAAGATTTGTGTACCAAATTTAAGAAAACGGTTTTTTCAAGGAGCTCACTCTCCGTCTTTCATTCCCAATGCTGTGCAGTGACAACATAAAACCCTCAGATATGTGAAAAGCCATCATACTTCGTTTTCATAACCGTTTTAAGATTCTGGGAAATATTGTGACAAGTGATCAGAGGAAATAACATCCCCTTCAACCACAACATCAGAAATGTGAACTTCGCAATTTATTTGATTTTAACACAGTTGCCATCATTCTCTCATAAACTAAACGTGTCCAGAAGCAATGTGATCCCAGAGCCAACCAACGCAGATCCTAGGCTCTGCCCTTGATGCTCATGGCAATCCCCTGCAACTGGAGAGAAAAGAGAAAAAACACAGTCAAAACTGGATCTTACAACTACAAAATAAAAAAGAGAAAATGCTACCTGAACACTGGATTGGAGAGCTTGATCAACGAATTTTAGTGGTTGTTTCTCCATTTGAAGAAAGAGTTCCCCTGCAGGATAGAAGTCTATTGCTAAGCAAACATGAGTCGCAATCTGCAAAGAAAATCTCAATTTAGAAAGCAATATGGTCCATCAATCCAAGAATCTCTCTTTCAGTACATGCACAATGAACCTGTTCAAAAGATCAGTGCAAGTTTCAAGACAGAGATATCACCTTGTTTCTCTTCATGGCAAAACACTGGCGGGAACCTTTCAACTCTACTAAATGTACTCTCCATCACAAAAAGGCTTTTTAATCCCATATATAAGAAACAACTATGAAAAAATTCACCTTTCTGTGTCACCAAAACCAAGAGATTTGACAGGCCGAAAATGGTGGAGTCAGTTTCTCGCCACTAATTTGAATCTGCATTTAAAACAAACAAGTAAACTGGAGAAGTCATCAGACTAAACATAATTTTATGAACCTTTCTAATAAGAGTTTAGATAAACGACTTTAGAGTGTTTAGCCCAAAGGTCGTTGGGTGTCTGGAAACGAATAAAAGAAACAAATCTCGAAGCATCCAGCATTAGACTCCCAAACAGCCCTCTGTTACTCACTCCTGTGCAACAAGAACCAAGTTAGCCACAGAGATTAAGAGAAATGAGAGATCATCTTGAAACCTAGATCAATACGCATGCCGGGAATCTTGTTGCAAGCCCTTGGCATGACAGGATGAGAAATCCGGGAGAACCAGGCAATCTCTTCGTTGCTTGAACGTATATGAGCTGCCCAAGCACGTACTCCTTATTGTACATAATAAGAGGCAGTAAAATATTCGTGATGAAACAATGAACACAAACCATACCTTGCATACCTCGCATGTAAAGAAGCACTGAGTATATGCGTACATCTGAACCAGGTTGCAGCTGCATCATGTCTTGACAACACTGTCGCCTCCAAACCTCGCAACAGCCTAAAGAAATTGTCAAAAGAAACAACACAAGAAAGAGAAAATGTACCATAAAAGTGTCTCCCGGAGTTTCCTCATCTTCTCTTTTGTCTAGCATAGGCTCTTGAACCTGCCACTTCAACTCAGCTAATCTATCTGCTGTGTGTGGCATCGTACAGCTAAGCAATACACCCTAGATAGGCGAGGACCAATGCAATCATGCAGTGAACCTCATGACGTGCAACTGCAGTGAAATGCCAAAATACATAAGTGCTCCTGGAAAAATGCAT